AGAGTGCTAGAATTAATTGGATCTTCTGAAGTTAAAAGATTATCAGAAGGAAATCGCCATGTAAAGGATAAAAATAATCAAGATGGCTATCTTGGCTCAAAGACATGTGTGTATGTAAGAAATTTTCCATTTGATGTGACAAATGTTGAAGTACAAAAATTCTTTGCAGGATTTAACATTGATGACAATGACATTTATTTGCTTTATGATGACAAAGGAGTTGGACTGGGAGAAGCACTAGTTAAATTCAAGACAGAAAACCAGGCCCGAAGAGCTGAAAGCTTAAATCGACGATGCTTTTTGGGGACAGAGGTACTCTTAAGATGTATACCCGAGGAGCAAATGCAAGAGTTTGGTATAAATATTTCCTCAGCATCTAATGAAAAGATACAAGGGCATCACCATAGTCGCGAAAGAGATGAAAATTTTTACTCTGTTGATTCACAAAGACCTATGCAGGAAGGTGACTATAGAAGCCTGTCTGATGATTTTATCTGCTCATCTGATAGAGGTCCTTCCCAATTTGAAGAACTTGGTGATGGTATTCCTGAAAATTTTTCTGATAGGCACTTTGTGTCCGATTCTAACTTTGGTGGTGGCTCAGATCCTGTAACGCTGATCAAATTAAAAAATATCCCATTTCGGGCTTCTCCTAATGAAATTCTGGATTTTTTCCATGGCTATAAAATTATACCAGAATCTCTTTCTGTTCAGCACAATGAATATGGAATGTTTTCTGGTGAAGCAGTCATTGCTCTAATAAATTACAAAGAGGCAGAGGCTGCTATTAATGAACTGAATGATAGGCCAATTGGGCAGCGCAAAGTTAGATTAACCTTGGTATAGATGAAAATGTGGTAGAATAAATATACAGTATTATTTCATTATAATTCACAATTTTTTACTTGGAAAATGAAGAAACCCTCAAAGGTTAATCATTATAAAACATTGTTAAATTTTTAAATTGCAGCATTTTAATTGATTTTTTTAAAAATAATGGCTCAACCTCAAAGTTCTGCCAAGTTATCTTTAAAATATGCATAGCTGAATTATGAAAGTTGACATCTATTTCATCCCTCTGCTACATGTATATTTGCAGTTTATCTAAATATGGTTTGATGTAAAACATTGTATTTTCAGAGTTGTTCAAAAGCATAGGTTGTGTCATCTTTGTATATATTAAATCCATAGGATTCTTGTCCATTGTTAATTCTCAGTGATAGCTTGAATGGTTTTGTTATCGTCAGCCCAGCCTTTCTTTTAAAATAAAAGTACATGCACTGAAATATGTGGATGGGTCATTGATGCTTTGCTTATTCATAGCAGTAATATCTTGCAATTCTAATAAAAATAAGTTTTATATTTGGCATATGTGAACATAGATAATTTTATAAATTAAGTTTTATAGGAACAGGCACAATTTTAAAATATTGCATACCATAGCCTAAGGAATGCAACTTGTTGTGTTATCTGTATACCCCTACAATTTTGTTTCATGTCTAGATTTTGTATTAATTTGGCAATAGTATTATCCTTGGGTAGCATACTATACTATATAGCAGTGATGGGGAACCTATGGCAGGTGTGCCACAGGTGGCACACACAGCCATTTGTCTGGGCATGTGAGGCACTGCCCTGTCAGCTGGCCAACGCGCATACACGTGCTGGCCAGCTGAGTTTACCTTTTTAAAGCCATTTTTCACCCTCCCTAGGCTCCAGAGGCTTTATAGGAGCCTGGGGAGGGCGAAAAAAGCCTCCCCCGCCCCTCTGGAGGCTTCATGAGCTCCCCTGAAGCCTCCAGAGG